GCGAAAGAAAAGGAAAAGGGTTTAGCGATCGCTCCCTCGTCGGCAATTTCCAGGACACAAAAAAAATTGCTGTGTCCATACGCATGTCCGCCCCATTTCATATACATAAACAATGATTCGATTTTTTTAGAGGTTCGCCTTTTTCTTCCGTTCGTTCTTTCAAAGCTGATTTTTTTAAGGTCCACATGTTTAAATATCAGATCAGAGCATAATCATCAGCGACTAGTGGATTGTATTTCAATATTTTATAAAGCTGATTTTTATTTTGGCGCAGGAATGACTGTACAAATAATCAAGGTGCTCTTTTCAGGAATTTTTTTGACGGTTGTGTAGATATTTGGGTCCACAAATTCCCCACTGCCTTCTGCTGTAATTATCGATCTTTATTGTTGTTATTATTATTACGGAATACTCGTATTATATATTATTTTAATAATTCATTACCTAATTTACCTTATAAACTATTATCTTTTTAGAACTTCTTTTCCGATGTTATTTTCGGACTCAGTAGTACATGTGTTCACAAGGTCGATGAATGAGCTCAGTCTTCTTGTAAAAAAAAAGGGAAAAAAAAAAAGAAGGGACGCCGGACCCGATTTCCGGCATATAAGGGAATGGTTGATTTTGCTATAAAAAAAAAAAAAAAAAAAAAGGTTCGATGACAAAAGCTCGAGGTTTCCTTTCCGTAATCTCCGAATTGACTGATTTTTTTCCTTCCTTTTTTTTTGTTTTTTCCCCCCCTCTTTGCTGCTTTTTTGTTTTGCGTGTTAACCTCGATCAATTCTTTTTTTGTTTTGTTTTCTTTTCTTTTTTTTTTTACTGTTTGGACCATTTCTCGATTTATGCGTGGCATCCTTGCGCAGCAGGGGCCATGCTAATCTTTTTTTTTTTTTTTTTTTTTTTTTTTTTTTTTTTTTTTTAAGACATGCGAGGGAATCCTATTCTTGGAGGTGATACTCTTCATTCTCTCTATCGATCCAATTTTAACAGATGTCCAGGAGGACAGCTCGTCCAATTCTCTTGTTTTTTTAAATTTCGAAAAATGTCGGCCCATACATAACCGTCGGTATCTCCTTATCCATGGTGGCCCAACCCCGACATGGACTCCAGGTCTTGACATACCATCCCGACGTCATCTACCTCCTCGATCTGCATGCAACGCCATCGTCGACCACATTGTTCTGTTTTGTTTTTTTGTTTTCGCCCTGCTTGTCTTCACACCATGGCTGCCACCTTGTTGTACACAAAAAAGCAAACGGCGAAGAAGAATATAGCTGCTTATGGATTCGCTCTACGTCCAGCTTTTCCGATTAAAAAAAACAAAAATGAGAGTTTATTAAATTAATTTTTCAAAAGCAACAAATCCAGTCACTTTTTCTTTCATGAAATCGAGCTGTTTCGGCTTTCCGGTCTCGACTTCACTCCCTCCACCTAGCACGCCCTCTCTCTCTCTCTCTCTCTCTCTCTCTTTCTCTCTCTCTCTCTCTCTCTCTCTCTCTCTCTCTCTCTCTCTCTCTCTCGTGTGTGTGGGCGTACTTTCCCGATCTCTCAGTGCGCGCCTCATTTTTGTGCCCCTGTTCCATCCGTCGCATCCTCATCTCTGGTTATGTGCCCCCTTCTGCACCCACCTCACCTTACTTGTTTTGAGCCTTTCTTCCACCCTTCCCCGTCTCCCTCTCTCTGTGTGTGTACGTGCGTGCATGCGTGCGTTCGTGTCTGTCTGTCTGTCTGTCTGTCTGTCTGTGTGTGTGTGCCTCTTTGTCTCTGGCTTCCCCCCTTCCCCCCCCCCTCCTCTCTCTCTCTCTCTCTCTCTCTCTCATTTGTGTTAACCGCCTTGGTTTGTTTCTTACTGAAAGTTTCTCTCTCTCTCTCACCTTTTGTGTTAACCGCCTGGGTTTGTTTTTTTTACTGAAATTTTGCATGTACGTAGCGAGGCTAAGTGTTTGTGGATGTGGAATCTGTGGACGTGATTTGAATGTGAATTGGCAGTTCGAAATTGTGGCCGAATTTGTGCGTCGTCACGGGTGGATCGTGGATGGGAACGGATCAGCGACGCCGCCGGTCAGCGTGGGGAGTAACGATAGGTTGGAAGGAGGATTGAGATTCGGTGGGATGTCGGGATCGGGATGTGTACAGGTGGGCCGAGGAGGACGTGGAGGGGCGGATAATATGGGGGACGACAGAGACAGCCTGTCGCAGGGCTCCAGCGATCGGAACGAGTCGGCATCCGCTTCCGATCCCGACGTGGCAGGTGCAGTCTATGCGCTGGCCAATGGAACCCGAGGGAGCAGGAAGGTCCCCTTCGGGGGAGTTGGGATGGGCGTGGAGTCCAGGTTGCGCGCGTTCGGAGGCGAGGAAAGCTCCGCCGGTGGCGGCGGCGGCGGTGGAGGAAGCAGGAAGCTGTTTAGAATATCCTAGAATCTTTTCTGGCGGGAAGGGGACAGACAGACATACAGGAGGGACAGATTACCGAAAGGGGAAAGCTTATATAAATATATATATCGTCACAAACAGAAATATATATATATATATATATACGCATCGAAGCTGCGGCGACCTGCGCGTCGAAGCTGCAGCGAGTCGGCGACCAGTCTCAGGATTACAATCACGTTTAACTTCGGGGAAACTCAGCACGGAGAAGCATAGGCAGGAGGGGATGGCGGAGGAGGGGGAGGAGGAGGAGGAGGAGGAGGAGGAGGAGGAGTGGACACTCTGGAGAGGAAAAAGGGAGGAGAGGAGGAGGAGGGGGTGACAGAAATGGGGGAGAAAAGATGAGGGAGTTTTCTGGACTACAAGGAAGGAAGAGGGAAAGGAAGGTAGGGGAGATTGAAGGTTTGGGAAAGGTAAATAGATATCTAATTAATTGAATTACGCTTTGGTTTGCCGTCGAGCAGCGCCTATGATTGGAGGGTTCGCAAGCAGGTCGACAAGATCTCGGCTTTACTAGGTAATTTGTCCGTCGGGGGTCTGGGTCTGGGTCTGGGCGGCAGATCGGGACCGGCCGAAGAACATGTATACGAGACGTGTGGGTTTCCACACTGAGTCACAGAAGGACCTGGAGTTAGCAATTGATTGTTAATCGGACACAGAGAGAGAGAGGGAGAGAGAGGGGGGGGAGAGAGAGAGAGAGAGAGAGAGAGAGAGAGAGAGAGAGAGAGAGAGAGAGAGAGAGAGAG